AATTTTATGAAGCATATCGCAGCATTGCCAAAGATAGATGTTATATAATAGGACGATTCACGGAGGCAAGAGAAGGGAACTGTGAAAGGCCCGGAGGAAAGGGAGGCTCTAACCCTTGGCTACATCTCCATCTCTCTCTCTCTCTGTTTGTGTGTGTGTGGCGGCGCAAGGAAACTCCTGACACCGCTACAGGACTAAAGACTAAATTCCAGGCCTAGGGCGAGGACTTTGCGATTTTAAACACGATCATCGAAAACGTTAGAAACGAGATACCCATTCACTACTTTAAAGTATCCACGACCCTCACAATCATTTGTTAATTATCTAGGATTAATAAGCCAGCCACACTACACACAACAGGCCTTCGTTCGGAGAACACATGGCAATTACTACCACTACTACTACTACTACGGGAGCCATATTAAGTATGGCTAAGGTAGGGTTTCAAAGACGGAAACGGGTTTCCTTGATTTCAATCGACTTTCCACATCAAGCCGCTATATCCAAATGCTTGCCTTGAACTGAGTAAAGACTCGATTACTTACTAGGAGAAAGAGCACCTTGTCTCTGAAGTTTCCAGCAGTCCGACCCAACATACTGATGTATGGCAAGTAACATCTACGACGTATTTCCTGTACTGTACTTTGGAACTCATTTTCCTTGACGGCCTTTCTAAGAAAGGTTGAGCAAATGGTGTCTGAAGGGTTAAAAAGTCTGTTGCTTGTTGCAATGAAATTATGGCTGGCAGTGGCGCCGCTGTTTGTTCAACAGACCTCCACTTTTAAACAGTTCACAAAAAGTTCATCAGGGCGGCGGCGATTATAAATAACGTATGCACGCATCCCACTGGAAAGCGCGACCCTGAAAAGGAGCAGAGACGAGCAAACATCTGGCCCCGCCCGCCTCCCGAGGAGATCACACAGAATCATGGTTTTTGTGTGTCGTACTTGGCACAATTCCCGAGAACCGGCTCGGCCGCCGTACACGCCCAGCTAGTCTTCCTCGGGCGTCCAAAAAGGCCTTTCGTCCTCAACTCCCGGTGACGATCCCCCCCCCCTCTGTGATCAGCGCTTTGGGTCTTCCCGTGTTACCAGAGTGCATCGGTGACGAAGGGCAAAGGCGGAGGGGTGTGTGTGTGTGTGTGATTTTGCAGCTTCTGCAGTTGCAACAGCTCAGCGCTCGAGCGGGCCATCCAAGCCGCGTTCCTTTGTGCAAACGATTTTGCCCGAAGCAAGATCTGTGGTGTGGAATAGTAAGGAGAGACGCTTGTCTTTGCAGCGAACAGCAACATAGTTCCCCCCTCCTTTTTTTTTAAAATACTTTTTAAACTTTGCCACTGTCGGGAAGACGGCCGTGCTCACTCCTGCTGGTTGCGCAGTGTGCCTTTGACCTTTCGCTGTTCCCAGCGAGCAACACTTCACATTTGGAGCGCAACTTCCACTTGTACAGCGCGCTTCGAAATGTGCACTGGTTCTGCCAAGCTAGTCCTCCTTTATTCCCTCGCTTTCCACTGAGCCGCCAAAGAAGTGTGCCGGAGCACAGCATCCCTGTATTATCTCGTTTTTGGAAAACTTAACACTGCTTGATAAGCCCCCTCCCCCACCGGATGGCAACGATACGTTTCCAGCGAAGAAACCAAGCGCAGCCGCCCTGCTCCTTCTTAACAAGTAAGATTAGCCTCCCCAGCGTGTTTACTTCTTTAAAGAAAGTGGGGAGGAGCGAGGGAGCGGCGCCCCCCGCTCCCATCAAGCAGCCCTATCTATTTGGACTTTGTGTCCAGTCCGTTCTTTACAGAGGAGGCAGCGCACTGGGCGGCTACAAACCGTATGTAAAACTCTCAAATCACTCTCTCCAGGCTGCGACTGCTCCATTTGAAATCATTACGAGCGGTGCCTCTGGAAAACAGTAAATCTGTTCAGCGAAACCCGTCTTTCCCGTGGAATAACTCCTTTTGAATGATCGCGCAATACAGTATTTCCTCCGATCTTGTGTGGTGGGGAAGATGGTGGGGAGAGGGAAAAACCAAAGGAAGAAGGGTGCCCTACCTTTACCTCCAGGCAACACGGGCCAACTTTATCCTTACTGCAAGCTACCTGCTGCGGAGCGAAAGTACGGGGATGTGCGGTTTCATTAAAGTACATTTGTTCTGTGCGTGGGCTTCCGCACAAAAGGCTTCTTTAAGAAATGGGGGGGGGTGTAAGCAGAAGAGGGAGGCTTGAAAGAGCTTCGGACTTCCTTGGCGCTGGTTTCTGAGGGCCACGCTAGCCTCAGGGAGGCTCTGCGCGAAATACAACCTCGGTTCCCTCCGCGTTTTGCACAGTAAGAAGGGTTAATGTGAGGATCTTGGACCCCGAGAACCGAACATATTAAGAAGCATTTCAGTTAAGTAGCGTGCTTGTCCGCACGCATCCTTGGCCTTCTCTAAACGCATCGAGGGTGCTTCCTTTTCCTCGCAGGTAGTCCCGTGGAACTTAATCGATTTAGACACGTCGAAGAATCGTTGCCCTAGATCTGATCCTAATATTAACCAAGTACTGTATACCCCAAATTTAAAAACCCGTACGTTTCGCTGGAAGACTAAAGGGGTATGCGTATCAAAGGGGATGGGACGTGTCACGACTTCGGCTGTGCATCGCGATCCTAAATACGTTTCACCCAGAAGTAGGTCCCGATTTGTTCAATGTGGGGCCCTCCCTATTAAAAGTGTGCTTCCCTTACCCACTTGGAGTGTATATTACTGGAAAAGGTCTGGTTTCTGCCATTCGCGAGGGGTTCTGTGTGTGTGCCAGTACTTTCCTTTCTCCGTCCCCCCCTCTCTCTCTCATTTTGGCGAGAGGAAGAGGTGGAGGGGTATCCTGTGTATTAAAGGCTCCCCTTACTTATTAACCCGGCATTTAACAGCGGGATGCAGGCTGAAGCTCAGTCAAAAGAAACGACTGAACCTCCAAAGAGCAATTAAAATCCAGCACTGGAATAAATCATGCGCCGCGATAATCGTGTTAATAAAACGCAGCTTGTCCTGACACTTCACTCATGCAGCAAACTAGAATTTAATGCGGGTGGAGATGGCTCGTTCGGGAGGGGAATAAAGGCCGGCGAGGCCCTTCTGTTGGTGGACGCGAAAATCCGGCTGCCTTTCACCTGCCTTCCCCCGCTGCACGCAGCGCCGATCCTTTCGGACTGCTAATGCTTCTCCAGTGAGCCCGCTAATGATTTCTTTCCCTGGAGTGAGCAGGCGTCATTGAATTACTGAAAGCACTCAAAGCAGCAGCACAGCAACAACAGCTCCAATGGTAAAAGCCACCAGGGTTTAGTTACTTAATCAAATCATGGGGTGGGGAGAGCTTACCAACCTACTTACTATTTTTAACCCCTTTTGGGGCTGGGATGAAAACTGCTGCTGCTGCGGCTGCTCCAGGAAAACTCAGTTGTTGCGGTGAAAAATCAGGACCTCTTGTTTGTCGGTGGCATTCCAGCCATTCAGGGGGGGCCTGGCCTTCCTGCTTACTGCAGTTTTGTTGTGGATGGATAGCAGGATACTTCAAAACTTTCTTTAAAATGGAGACAGGCTTATTTGCGTTGCTGCTGTTGTTAAATGAATACAGTATTTCGATTTCTTTGGTGTGTGCAAGCAGCTTCAGATGCTATCTGCTCCCACCCCAGGTTCTGCTGATTTCCTATGTGGACTTCTCCGTACCATAGCAAAAGCAGCAAAGAGCACCTTAAGTCCAAAACTCATTATTTGTCACAAGCGTTTGCGAACTGTGGAGGTTGGCCACTGATGATTATATCAAATGGAAAGTTTTAGTTTTTGAGCTGCTGGAAGACTTTTGATTGGTTTTTCTGCTACAGACTAACAGGGCTAACTCTCTGGAAACTCCATCCTGTAGTATCTCTTCAGACACAGATCCAACTCTGCAGACACTCTGCACCTCCAGCACAGTATTAAACTGCACTGAAGCTCATCGCTTAACATTGATGAGACTTCCAAGTTGTACCTTAACTGTTATTTCATCATCTAGTTTCATACACAGAAAATAATGCTTAAAATAGTGAGAGAGATGGTCAGAACACGTGAAGATCTTTCAAAGCTGGATTTCTTTGACTTCAGTGGGGCACTGGGGGCTAACACATTTCTCGATGATGTGGGTTTGGTACATAGGGGAAAGAAGCCCCCACAGTGGTCCATAATGACATTGCAAGTGATTTATTTGTATTTTTCAAGGGTCAAAACTCAAAAGTGGAGGAATTACCCAAACAAACAAGGTTAGATATTTTTACATTCAGTAGAAGAGTCCATGTTCCTGAGCATCCCGCTGAAAAATATATGATTTAAAAGTATTCAGTTTGGAATGGATTTTTCATAGTGCTGTTTTCTTTAGTACATTGTCTGACTTAACTATTGTTGTTGAAAGCTGCATTTTTATATATATCTCTTGTCTTTAGCAATTTTAATGACAAGGTGATAAAGAAATGCTGTAAATAATGTACCAGTTACAGTTTGCTGGATTTCCTTCTCCTTGAAGGAAACAAAAGGAAATCCGATTCTTTTGCTGTACAACCTTCTTATTAATAGTGAATAAATATATACTATGTTATTAGGGAACTGGATGAATTCCTAATATATATTTTGCTTAATTAACAAGGAAGTGTCTACCTCAATACAATTCAGATGAGTTTTGTTCACGGCTGTATACTGTAATAACTTTCTGTTTCCAGTGAAACTTACTTGGTGGAGATGGGCCTAGTGGCGCTTGATTTGTCAACAATGTGCTACTAGAGCTAATTTCCAAGATGTGCACGAGGGAAAAAGATCCATGCCATCAGTCCTGTTTGTGGTCTCAATTTGCTCCTTTTATTACACGTGTTTTAACTAGGCATCTCCCATCAGCCTATCAATCCTGCATTCATAGTTGAATTTCAGGAAAGAAGCCAGTGATTCCACTGTGATGTTTGCACTTCTTAAGCCAATCTTCTCTCATTTTCTTATTTTAAAACAGATTATAAACATATGTGAAGAAAGACCTCTGCTCTAAGGCGACGTCATGCTTTCTGCAACTCCCCTGTATGGCAATGTTCATAGCTGGATGAGCAATGAGAGGGTCCGCATGTGTGGCATTAATGAAGACAGGTAAGTATTTATGATTCAGAAAAGTAGAAGCATGTAGTGTTTTCTGCATTTCCTAGGTCATTTGCCTTCTCATTGCCTAGTGTGGCTTAGATAGTTCCCTTCTTCATCCGGATCATTCAGTGGAGAGGTCATCTGAGAGGCAGCAAGGACTAGAGAGGGAGGACTGTGGGTTGAGTGCAGACTAGACTCTGGCTTACTATTTTGACAAGCTGTGATGCTCAGAAGACTAGAAAGAGCCTTGTAAAAAATTAGCTCCCAAGGTTACCCTCTCTTCTCTTGTGTAAGCACACAGTCGGAGTCTTAAATGTATTTATTAGGAATTAAATCTGATTGGAACTTGTTTCCAGATATATATCCTGAAGGATGCTGATGTCATTCATTATGGTTGTTGGAAAAGATAAAACTTGGATTCGTGTTGCTTTGAACGAGTGCCAAGGTTTACATGATGCAGTCAGCGAAATTACACAAATAATCTGTGCAGCAGTTAGAGGCTAGCAGAAATATGAAAGTTTGGCCCCCAGTGGGAGAAAAGTGGGAGAAAAGTAATTGTGATAAAGCTCCATTGAAGCCAATGGATCAAATTAGTCTTGATTATGATAAGCATATTCAGTTCAGCCAGACTTCCATTGCAAGCATATACTGAGTTTTCTGAGAGGAAGTCCCCTGAACATCCCCAACACCCACATGCATATGAAAAGAAAGAAAGGAAGGTATGTAGGCCGAGCGTGCCGCTTTTCTGTTTCCTTCTATGCCTGTAGGTGTAGTTGTACCAATGGTATGTTAAAGTTGGGCAAAAGTGTAGATGTTGCTTTTACCTTAAAAATGGACAGAACCGCTAGCAATATCATAGAATGGAGTCTGGCTCTTTTGGGTAATGAGGAAGCTTTCCTTCAGCTGCATGTCAGCTGCTGTGTCCCTGAGATTTGAAAACTGGCATGAAGGTACATTTTTTAGTAGTGTTTTTTCTGATAACAAGTCCCTGAGCTGAAATGCTGCTAAGGCCCATATGTGTAGCTTCTTTTTCAGCATTGGACAGCTGATGTTTGTATGTGATTTTAGAAGTATGTGCTAGTTTTCTTATCCCCCAACCACTTTTTCCTATTGAAGTAGTACATAAATATGGTGTACTTAATAGGGTTGTTTTTGTATACATAACGAAACAGTAGCATTTCATTTTAGCCCATCCTGCTACAGGAGAAATTTTGAAATGAATTTCAGAATAAATCTGATGCTTAGCAGTGTACTAATTAAAACAGTTTTAATAGAAAATATGCAATAAAAAGTTATAAAAGCTGTAACATTTTGTATATGTCAGTTCTTTTGTGTGTTTCTTGAAAATAGGAAAATCCCAGTTAATGATGGAGATGCTTCAAAAAGCAGGCTGGAATTAAGGGAAGAAAATCACCTGAACCACAGTGTGGTAAGGAAATAATTGTTCAGTTGATGAAAGTATTTTTAAAGAAATTATTTAAGTACCAATAGGACCACTGAAACTGCTATCCATATATGACATTCAGACATCGTATTAAGAAAATTAATTTGTGGCCTGAACAAATGTCATGATCAAAATTACTTATACTAATTTTTAGTTTTTGAGTACCTTGAAAGGCTAAACCACCAAGTATTTGTTTCTGTGGTGGTTCTGAATAATACTGTATAATATAGTATGTTGCCGTTTTCCCTTCCAAGCCTATGAATTCTGAGTGCCCATTTGTAGCTTTGGATTGGTGGAGCACAATGTGAGTTTCAGCTATAGATGTAATGGTGGGAGAGCAGGCGGGCTAAGAGCCATATGCATGCCACAATGAGATCATTGGAGGAAGGGTGGCATATAATTCAAAAGAGTGGTATTGTCAGCCCTTCTTCTATAGAATAGCAGAAGACAGCTGTGTTATATCAGAGGAGATAAAGAAACTCCCAGGCATTATTTCTGCAGGGTACTCACCTATGTGTGTGGAGCCTCCTGGTGCAGTGGTTAAACTTGACCGTGGAAATTCATGGTGTGTGGAACTGGTAAAGCCACTCTTTAAATATCTCACTGATCTTAAAAGCCATATTAGGGTTGCTGTAAGTCAGTTCCAACTTAATGGCACATAACACATGTAACATGAATGATCTTAAGGAGTTATCCTTCAGTGATTTGGAACTCTTGGCTGTGGAATCAGAGACTGGTAGCTCAAATCCCAACTGTGCCTGTCAGGAGAGAAGCCAGCCAAGATTGTCTGGAGTGTTATATAGCTGATGAGGTTACACAACCTGTCTTAGGCAAGCCAGTTGCCTATGGGGAAAGCAATAGCTTCTGCAGAGATGCTGGTCTTTGAAGTTACTGATAATGCAGTCCTGTATGTGAATATTCAGAGGCAGTTCCTCTGACAGGGGAACTTAGTTCCAAGTAATTGTATGTAAAATTGCCAACCCAATGTTATGTTTAGCAAGCAGTAAGCAGAGGAAAGGAATTCAGAAAGTATTCACTGGTCATTTAGTCTTATTTCTGAAATAAAGTTATGTGATATACTGTATGCAAATCTGAATATGAAATTTTTCCTAAGAGCATACTCTGAATTTTAAAGGTTGGCAAAACATAGCTCTGGGGCTACATGCAATCCTCCAAGGCTGTTTGAATGGCCCCTTGTCCTCCCTGGCTTATTGTTTTCTGGCAAAAGAAGCTGAAACAGGACGAGTTTGTTGAAATCTATTTGTTTTAATGGGAGTGTGGGTTGAGCAGCAAAGATTTTAGGAGATCATTATTTAAAGGCAGAATCCTTGCAGACATTTGATGGATATGAAAGGATCTAGATGCCTATCAAGTTAATCTTTTTTATTATTATTATTGTCTTGCTTGTCAGGTGACAGACAGGATTTTTAAATCCAAGTCTGAAGCAGCCTATAATTTTTAAATGTTTGATTTCCTTTATTCCTCCGCATTTATCAGTTTAATCACCTCACATTTGTTTTTAACAAAGGAAAAATGTATTCACTTCCTGTTGTTTCTAGTCAATTAAAATGTATTTATAGCTTTGAGTACCACTTTGACTAAATGCCGAAGTAACCTCTTCCTTGTTCTACAAAGGTGGATGCAACGGCGGTTCATCGCATTGACAGTCTTGCAGCTCTGAGCATGGACCGGTCTGGACTTATGCGGGAAGGGCTTAGAGTCCCCAGTAGTATTGTCTATTCCAGTTTATGTGGACTTGGCTCAGAAAAGCCTCGAGATACTACGAGTGCTATTGCTGGCCTTGGATTCACTCCTGAAAGAAATCCAGAGCTACAGTTCAAGGCTAATCCCACCGAAACAATTGAAAATGTAGCTGGAAAGCCTCCAAATGGCTTCAGTGCTATGTACAAAACACCACCTGGAATACAAAAGAATTCTGTTCCAACTGGGGAGTCCTTAGGCTTGGACAGAAGCTCAGGCGACAAACAGAGTCCTCTTAACCTCAATGGTGCTAGTTACCTAAGGTTACCCTGGGTAAATCCTTACATGGACGGTGCTATTTATCCTTTTCTTGACTCACCAAATAAGTATTCATTGAACATGTACAAGGCCTTGCTACCTCAGCAGTCCAATTACAGTTTGCCGCAGCATCTGACTTACTCACCTGTATGTACAAATGGTGAACGTTTTTTATACTTGCCGCCTTCCCATTACGTCGCTCCCCACATTCCGTCCTCGTTGGCTTCCCCAATGAGGATCTCAGCTGCATCAGCATCTTCTGCACTTCCTCCTCTAGGACACTGTCAAGATAAAAGCTTGTCTTGGAAGTTGGGAGTCAGTCCTGGGAATACTGTGGACTCTCATGCCTATCCGCATATCCAGAACACCAAACCACCCAGAGTCCCATCTGCTAAGCCGGTGACTAGCAATATGCCAACAGACCCTGGTGTTCTGCTGTCACATTCACCAAGACCATCACCTAGAGCCCATCTCCCACCACAGGTTGGAGATGCTTATTCAGAGTTCCACAAACATTTTTCCAGAATTTCAACATCGCCTTCCTCAGTTGCTCTCCCAAAGCCATACATGAATGTAAGCAGTGATTTTCCAAGAGTCTCTAGTGGAAAAGCTCCCAAAACGCATGAGGCAGGGGAGATTTCTCAGCAGCCAACAATGCATGCAAGGAAAACAGGTCATGACAGGAAGGAGAGCAGGTCTCCTCCGTTATTAGAGAAACAACAAACTGTTACCAAAGATACGATTGACAAACCACTGGATTTGTCCTCAAAAGTTGTTGATGTGGAGACAACCAAACCTGACCATGTTAAGAAAATGGCACCAACACTGTTAGTTCATAGCCAGGCTGGAAGTGGGTTAGTTTTACCGGGAGGTGATCTTCCAAAAGAAACCATTTCTCCTGGAAATGCTTGTCCTATCTACAGACCTGAGATAATTAGCACTGCACCTTCCTCTTGGGTTGTTCCTGGTCCAGGTCCCAGTGAAGAGAATGCTGGTAAAAATGTACAGTTGAAAAACAAGGCATTAGACTGGGTGACACCACAGCAGCGAAGTTCCTCTTGCCCTAGGATGGGAGGCACTGAAGCAGTCATTAGTAACATTTCAGGGTCTGTATCAAGTGGAGGTCGGCCAGCATCTGCTTCTCCAGCTCCGAATGCCAACGCGGATTGCCCTAAGACTAACAACTCTGTGGAAACCACTGCATCTGTCATACAGCATATAGGACAACCTTCAGCACTTTCCTCTTCAAAGCACAGTAACAAGACAGCTAAATGCAATAATCATGAGCCTATCTTCAAAGCAAATGAGAGTACCCTTGCACCGAGTTCCTTATTCTTCCCTCCAAATGATACATTCCGATCTCCGCCATTGCCCTATCCAAGAAGTTATCTGCCATACCCAGTTCCAGAAGGTTTGGCTATAGGTCCTTTGTCTCTTCATGGAAAAGGACCTGTGTATCCTCATCCAGTTCTGTTACCCAATGGCAGTCTTTTCCCTGGGCATCTGGCACCCAAGCCTACAATTCCATACAGCCTGCCAACTACCAGAGGTGAGTTTATGACCTATCAGGATGCATTAGGTATGGGGATGGTACATCCAATGTTGTTACCACATGCAACTTTGGAACTAAAAGATGAAAAATCAGAAAGGAGATCTAGGTCACATGAAAGACTCCGTTATGAGGACCCTCCTTTAAGAAACAGATTGCCAGAGATACTGGAAAACAGCACAAAGCTACCATTCGAAGTACCTGCTACAGACAGAAATGTGAAATCACACCAAAGTTCAGGTCATAGTAAAAATACTCCCAAAAGTGACAAGCATCCCTTTGCAGAACTGAGAGAAGATCAAGAGGTGAAGGGTGAAGCAAACCTGTCAAAACCTAATTTTCCTATTGAAAGCAGTAATCAGACGAATGATCCCATAAAGCACAAAGTGGAACAAACTTTTCAGCATAGAGATTTTATTGTAATGAGAGACGAATGTGGGAAGAACAACTTCCATGAAGTTTACAACTTTAAACAAGCCCAGAGCCCACACCCACTGATGTTCAACATAAGAAAAGAGGATCTTTCAGTAAGCCAAAACAGAGAGAGGTTGCCAGTTCCTCCTTCCTCTGTGTTCATGGAGACTGCCCATGGGAACGATGGCCTGCCCATGGCTTTTTGCAAAACGCCCGATGAGGCTAAACAGCTCTGTATGGGAAATGCACAGCCAAGAATCGAAATCAGTCCGGCGTATGCTAAAGATGGGACTGAGGGAACAGATTCAAATGATGGCAAACTCTTGAAACCTAAGCCATCGAAACTGGCAAAGAGAATTGCAAACTCTGCTGGTTATGTAGGTGATCGATTCAAGTGTGTTACGACTGAGCTGTATGCAGATTCTAGCCAACTGAGTCGAGAACAGCGAGCTCTGCAGGTGAGTCTCTGCAGTTTAACTACGAAAGCATTCTTTTATTGTAAGGTCACAGATAAGAATGGAATTTGATATATTACAGAGGCTGGGGAATAAATGCACAAGTTTAAGTCTTCTTGACACAATGATATCTGCATATAGTATGCTTGCATATGTTTGGGTACAGCTATGAAGTCAGATGTAGCTGAGCTTTAATAGATCTGAGTTAAATGTTGCAACTAGTGTTTTAAACCATTTACTACCTTCATAGGAATTACACAAAAGGGGATTGAAAAATGCATGATGTGTTAAAAAGACAAGGAAAAAATAGTTCGCTGTATTTTGCCTATATTTGGCCAGCGTACTAAAATAGTAAAATAATGGCAGAGGTTCAGATTAATATACTGTGAATGGCATTAGATAAAGAGGAGTAGCAGCCATATTTAGTAAGTTCAGTGCAATTTCTTGACGAAGCAAAATGAAGTGTAGACAAGTAGGTGTAGTGAATCTGATGTTAAATGATGGCAAATATTTTAGGTTACTTTTGTTTTCTTATGGAAAGATGAGTTAGACCAAGGTGTTTTGCATTGTTAAGAAAAGAATTAGTTGATGCTTATAAAAATGGATGAAATTATCTAAATGATCCATTGAGTGCCCATTTTAATTACATAGATGGAAGGATTACAAGAGGACAGTATTTTATGTCTACCTGCTGCTTACTGTGAGGTCAGTTCTTCAAATTTTTATTACTAGAATCTTGCATAAACCTTTGAGTTAAACTTTCATTTCCAAGTATACAAGGGAAGTTGTGGGCCATGATCCTCTTTACTCATTGTGCAGTTTTTGTTTTTTTGCTTGTTATANATATATTATATGAAGCTTACATTTTTATGTTTGAGAGAACTGTGTATATATTTGTGTATAGATAGAGTGTTTTGCATATTCAATATTTAAGATTTTAAAACTTTGTATATAGTGTTATGTAGCTCAAACCTCGGTTTTGAACAGATCATTTCTTTTGGAAATACTTTCATAAGGTAAGGTTCATGAATTAGCTCTTATTGTGAGACTTTTTTTTCATACCAATTCTCTTTCTAGCGTGCAATGATGCGCTTCTCAGAGTTGGAGATGAAAGAGAGAGAAGGCCACATAGCAACCAAAGACCTGGAGGTCTGCAGATTCAGCCAAGCAGACTGGGAAAACTTGAAAGGAAAGAATGAAAAGAAGCCCAAGTCTATCACTTTGGATGATGCCATTGCTGGGCAAAATGACAATGACAGATGTAAGCAATTTTTTGATGCAGTTTTGAAGTGTTTGATGCTTTTTTGACTGTTTTGTGGGCCTCCTTCAGCGGTTCAGAGCAAAACATGACTAAGCCGTAACATACATTTTGAAGTATTTTAATCTAAAACAACTGCTGCACAACATGCTGAATTTTCTTGACAACAAGCAAAAATAATTTTTTTTGTTAAATTTCTGTTTGACACCTGCAGTTTCCTGTTTATATGATTTGCAAGTTGCATGTATCCTTAAGTGTGATGTTCTTCAAAATACTACATATTGTTTTAGGCTTACAAAAAGTGATGTTCAGTTGAATTACAAACTCACACGGTGGCAGATCTTCTCTCTACTTCTCTGGAGTGGGTGCCTTCTACAGTAGCTCAGTTTATTTTTTGCGGAAAGCCACTGTATCATTGTGATCTGTTTTGAGAAGCACAGTGAGGTGCAATGAAAACTCTCATTTCCAGAGAATAAGACTTTCAGTAGCTACTATGTTAACTCTCGCTATCAGAGCCAATATGCATTTCAGTACTTGGGATATCAATCTTTGAGCTCCAAAATCCTCGCAGTCCATATAATGGATGCGGGATTGGATTTTTTTTTTTTTACTACTCGGCCTCCAAGAGAATGAGATATTTTTCTGGTGCTATCAAAGCATGATTGTACACATTGGCTAAAATTCTGTTGTGTAACTTGTTCCTGTGGAAGGGATGTCACCTGCAGAAAGTGATATTTGGTAGTTAAACATTCCCTGCTTCTATTCTGTCTCATAGCTTTTTCAGATCCTGTGCAATGCTTTTCATCTCATGGAAGCTGGGAGCAATGGGATAGAAGGAATAAGTCTTTCTTGACTTAAAAATCTCCTTCTGTTTGTAACATTATTTCACTGGCAATTTTCCATATTTAAAGTCTTCCTCCTTCTGTCTTGCATCTCCCACAGCTTCTGTACAATGAAGAGGATTACACAGGAGTTGGAAAAGTTGCAGGAGAAATGTAGGAAGTTCTTAACTACCACAAATCACCTCCTGTTGATGACACCCTCAGTAGGCATTACATCAATAGGATTTCAGTTGTTGTATAACTTAAGCAAATGCTTAACCTTCACATCTTGCATAACTGCACAACTGATATTTTCTTAAAGAGACTTTCTGAAATTTAGAATATTAGATGTGTTTTCTTTTTATTAACAATCATCTAGGCCATTTGTGATTGCTGCATAAATGCTTTGCTTCTTAAGAGAAAGGACACTAGTTCTCTATAGACCTCCCCTAGAGGTATGTTGCACAAACTTTGTGGAGACAACCTAAATGGATGAGAACAACAAATTTGGCAAGTATGTTCTCTATCCCTGTTCATTACCAGTTGTTGGGAAACACAGGCAGGAGAGTGGTATTGTACTCATTTTTTGAATGCAGGCTTCCCATGACACCCCGGTTGGCCACGTAGAGGGCAGAGCTGGATGAGATAGTTTCAGAAGCCCTCTCGGTGTATTCTCCCTCCAGCTTAGTGATTTGATGTAGGATTCTAGTGTTTCCAGTTCTGCAGAAATTATGATTGGTATAGAAATTCAAGTACAGCTAGTTTTGAAGGGATTAATTTTTATGCTGCTTTGTTTTGGTGGATGGTTTCTAGCCATTAGAATGGCTAGTTTGACCAAGTTGTCTTTGTTCCCAGCAAAACTTCAGTGAGTCTGCTTCAAACTATGGAAATGGTACAACAGTATAGTTCCTTTGCTGATAGGGAATAATAGTTCTGGTGTATTGTGCAGATGTGTCTTAGTGTGTATCAGGGGCTGGTAGCAGTCCTGGTAGCTCAGTCAGAAGAACTGGGTCAATAGGGAATCGATTGCTGTTGTCTTGTTTCTTTCTCTCTTTTTATGTGCTGGTTACAAATTAATATAGTTACCTACCAAAATGAAATGTTAGTTGATGGCAGTGTTAAAGCACGAAATGAACAAGATGCTTTTGGCTAGATAATGGCAGTAGAATTCTTCTTGGAAAGAGAATTTCCTTAAAGAATTTAAGCATTGCTCAGGTAGTAGAGGAGCAGGTCCTGTGTACTTTTCTGAACATGAGGCCTGGCTTTGTTTGCTGGTGCTGGTGCTACTCATTTCCCACTTTCTTCATTTTCCATAACTACATTTCAGAGTGCGTACTATGCTCCCCCAAGCCTTAAAAACTCAAAAGCACTGTAAATTTGAGAGGAAAGCTGTTTCTGTTTCCCAAGCTTATGCACCTGACTGTCTGGGTCATGCACATCCTTAGCAAGTCATTAATGTGGAGGGAAGAACTAGCTTTTGTCAAAGCGAGCTCTAAGGTGTGAGGAGAGAATCAGGGTTCAAACAGAAGGAGACAGGAGCAAAGATATAATTTTAGCGGCATGTGCATAGGATTATATGGAATGGAATGTGCATTTTGAGGATGTGGGGGACACTGCGGGTTAATGGATGAGCCACTGGGTTTGCCAGTCAGAAGGTCGGTAGTTCAAATCCGCGCAATGAGGTGAGCTCCCGTTGCTTGTCCCAGCTCCTGCCAATCTAGCAGTTCGAAAGCATGCAAATGAGAGTAGATGACTAGGTACCACCTTGGTGGGAATATAATGTCATTCCATGTCTAGTAATGCCAGCCACATGACCACAGAAAGTGTCTATGGACAAAGGCCGGCTCCTTGGTTACAAACAGGGATGAGCACAAAAGATCATTGCCACTTTGTGCAATGCAAGGTGTCAAGTCAGGGTCAATCTCTTCAGAGTCAGACACGACTGGGATTAATTGTCAAGGGGAACCTTTACCTAGTGTGCATTTTTTCATGATCCTCTGGAATTGATCCTCTGGGTGGGTGCAGATATGGTGAAATATTTTGTAGGAAAAAGTTATCTGTATCAGTTTCCTGGCATTGAGCAAGATTTCATTGATTTACTCCATTGCAGATTTTCCTTTTGCACTTCTGAGTTTGTTTCACAAAGTCATTGTGTTAAGTACCAAGCTGTAATGAAGAGATTGACCCTGACTTGACACCTTGCATTGCACAAAGTGGCAATGATCTTTTGGAGTATGTTTTCCCTCAAGCTACTTTTTGTTCCTTGCCAAGACACCTCCTCCTTCAAGGCTTCATTGAATTTTTTAAAAAAATATTTGAGATGTGTGAAGAGTGATCAGAAGTGAAAATAGGGACTGTCTCTTGACTAGTGTGTTTTTTCAGTGGATAACTTTCCACATGTAGTGGAGTTTGGGTTGCACTGGTTTTTTTTTACTGTTAAACAATTGGAATTTTAAAAATCAATTTGCTAATTAGCAGATATTTGATGTTTCTGTAAATCATTTTCTGTGTGTGGATCAGCAAATACGTAAAACACAAATGTTTTGGGCATATGACAGAGTTCATATCTGAATTATTATTTTTTAAAAGTTTAGAGTTGGTCGTCTATCAGTTTGTATTAGGTAACTGTTGCATTGATTTCAACATAAATGTAATGATAAGATGTTGGACTGAACTGTCTGAAGATGGTGTAGGAAGGCTCTTTGGTGGAGCCATTCCTTGGCTAAAACCTGTGCTAAAATTGCTGTGTTAGATGTGATAGTGACTATCTGCAAAATTATCAAGATTTTTAGACTATCATGATGTTTACTATGTTTATTTTTTGTTTAGATGCTCCTTTTGTCATGGATAGTCTATCTTATTCTGTTGTTTAATGTTTATGCCTACCACTTCTTGTGGTCAGTCGTGAGAATCTAAAAGATTACGTAAAATATGAAAATGGTAGATGGTAGACTTCCTCTTCCGGTTTCTAGCCATGTTTTCTTCCAGGATATTTCATTCTGTTCTCCTTGCCCTGGCCTCCCTCCATCCCACCATCCCAGTACTCCTTATTTGTGCCAACTGTGGATGCCCAGATTAGGTTCTGGTGGATTTTAATACAGCTGCAACTCCATATTTTCAGTGGAAGTTGTGCTTGGATAGTTAAAATCCACATTATGTTGCTTGCCCAAGTTTGGCTTATGTGCTGTGGATGAGGTCAGCCATGTGGGGCACTACATGAACAACGCAAGCCCAGAAGGATGAGGGGAGGTTCCTGGGAGAAGAAAGTATGTCTGCACCCCACTGTCTTCCTTTCTTTGCACTAAACAGTTTGTTTACTGGGAATTTAGAGAAATGGAAAAAATAATTTCTGTTCTTGGCCCTGTGGTGTACAGATGGAACTGTTGCACTTGGGCAGAGTCTCATTCAAGCAAGCAAAATGCAGTGCAGATGCAGCCGGCTGCCTGATCAAGTGCTGTCTAAAACATGCCTAGTGGTATAAGGGAGAGGCTGTAATACCTGCTGGCAGTTTCAGACATGTTTATATCACACCTGCCTCATTTGTCTGGTGCAAAGGTGAAATGAGCTGAATAAAATCAGTTTCCAGAGAGGTAGCTGTATTACTCCATTGCAGCATGTTGGCAAAAAGTGGGGAGGAAAAAAGGACAGATTTGTTTCCACATGAGCTTTTGTGGATCAAAATTTACTTGTGTCTGAGGATGTAGATGTTGATCCATGAATGTTCACGTGGAAACAAATCTGTTAGTCTTTGAAGTGCTGCACAGTGTTTTGTCATTTACTATCCCTGACCCTTTTTTTTTGGACCAACATGAATAAAATTAGCAGCTGACGTAAGTTCAGTTGGAAAAGGTTGGCCACTGTGTGTCTTTCTTTTGAGTTCCATATTGACTGATCAACTCATTCTTTAGCCATCAAGCAAATTCATTGGCATGCATGCAAACTCTTCATAGCAATATTTATTGTACTGCTTACAAGAGCAGAGCAAAATTATTATCTTTTCTTAATTGCAATCCTGCCTTTATGCAGCAGCATGATCAGCATGTTTTAGGACTAGCAAGGATATAAACTTTCTCAAGTTTGAGAAGTGTTTGAGTTTTGAGATGTTCCTGCTTCATTTGAAAATGTGACTCATTGATGGGGAAAAATTTTGAATGTATTTATATATATCCTGCAAGCAGAGAG